ACGATGATAAGAAACTCCTCACCTTATTGTTTATTCGTGGAGAAGTAGGAGCATGCCATGTCTCAGTCATCCATGCCTGGCAATGAATAAAGCATGAACTTATAAACATTCCTCCTTCCTTATTTTTCTGGAATTCTTTTAGCGCCTTCAAAAGAGATCTGCGGTAACCTGTACGAAAAAAAGTTGCCAAGGTAATTTGCCACAATATTATGTTTACAAGTAAACTTAGGGTCCAATGCATGAATCTTATTTTCCAAATGACGAGGTCTCAAACCAGTTAATACAAGTACACATAAGATGAACCAATGGTGGATCATTGTATATGCAAAAAACATGTGTGCTACATGGGTTTGGGAATACCAATCAGTTCCCCGAGATATTTCCTTAAAAAAAAAAAAAACTAAAAAGAGGACCCCAGTAGTGCCCCCTGAATGCAACTGGAAGCTGTTTAAAATGCTGGTTTATGGTCCAAAAACTCTATAACTGGGTTATCTTCACCGAAATTTTCTCTGGTTCAGTGACCCTAAGAATTCTAGTTTAAATGTAACATAATACCATAAACTTCCTCTGGCGGGCTGGATGGAAATATGCTGGTTTATAGTCCATGGCGGGCTGGATGGAAATATGCTGGTTTATAGTCCACATAAGTCTACAAATGGCTGGTGGCAATCAGCAATGTACTTTAGGTAACAATTATAAGACCATTGAGATGGTATTCCTTGAAGAGTGGGCCATATAATCCCTTGCTACATAGACTCAGGCCAATTTTAGCTGTAAGTCATTTACTGAACTGTCAGGCAATACGTATTGTGTCATGAGAATCATACCCAATTACCTTGCAGTATTTCAACCTGGGTAGCATTGCAATTATGAATGTCCAGTCTGCACTTTTGCCAGTAGTGATACGGATCTGATCCTTCAGGTATCAAGATATTTTGTATCTAATGATCATCCAATTACGAAAATAAAAACAATGAATGTGAAATCAAATTCTGGTGACGTGCAAATGAAACTTGGGTTCTGAGGAAACTTACCTGCCAAAAATCATAAGCTGAGTGGAGGAGGAACACCGGGGTGGCAATGTTTTTAATAATTTCTTTAGGAAAGAGACACTGCGAAAAATCACAACAGATAATAGGGGCTTTGTGTTATGAATCAACAACTGAGCAGAAGAATTAAGAACATCTCAAATTTGATAGAGATACTGTGTAAGAGTTAAAGAAAACCTACCTCAGCTGGTTCCTTTCTTGCAATACAATCCTTGTGTAAACTTTTTCTTAAACCCTGATCAGAAAAATTAGCAAGAGATATCAATAATGACTCTTGTGTTAAACCCGTAGCTTTCAGCTAGACCTTAGTGTCAATGAAAGTACTGTATAATGGTTATAAAATCAAAATGGATGTAACCCTGTCTCATGTATGAAGTCTAAGATACTAAAATAAGCATTAGCAGATGCACCATATTAAAGATTCAATTTTATATTGACTAGTGTGTACACCCCATATTCACACCATCTGTCAAACCCGAGATCTCAAGAACCCAACAGTATCACCATTGTTAGTAATCAAATTTGTACAGAGAAAACAAGAGTAAGTATCACCAACCTAAAGATTACATAAGATAGTATCAGTAAAGATCAGAGCATTACGTGAAGGATGAAAACATCGTGAAAGAAATATCTCATGGTGGGATTTTCGATAACATCTTTCCTGAAATGCAGGAAACAGAAAGTTGCTATAAAAAAATCTTTCTTTTCTCTGTGTGATTACTATTCGGAGCACAGAGGATGCATTAATAATAATAATAATAATAATAAAGCATTATGCACATACAAGCAGTTAGTAAAAGCATGCAAGAAATTCAACATTCCTGGTGTAGCTTGATACGAAGAATTTCAAAGTTTCTAGAAAATAGATTGGTATGTAGGTGTTTAATTATGATAGGCTTTCAATTCCTGATGTATGAACTAGAAATAGTAGGATCACAAAACTGCACGTTATCACATGAAATTTTATATTTAGGAGATATAAGTGAAGCGAGAAAGTATGATCCTAAGAAGAGTTCATATAAGAAAACATGATTCTAGAAAGACTTCATACTGAACAGATTAGCTTAAAGATGTTGGTGCAGAACGCACTGGTACACATAAAACATACTCATCAAGAAAAAAACCTGCATCAGCAAGACATTTGACAGTTACATTCTTAGGCAGAAGACCACGAAATTCATCACAATGTATAAGAGCCGCCAATCCACCAGCGGAGCATCCCGCAAGAAGGGCCTGTAAGATTGTCACTTATACATATTAGCAGAAACAGACCTATTTTGGACAGGAAAGTGAATTTATGCGAGTGAGAATCAACAAATTATATCATTAAAACATCAATGAAATTAGCTCTCTGAATAAGAGTGAGAATCGTAATCATCTAACCATGTACTGTACATGTATAGAACAATTAGAGCTTAATCCAAGTAACCACAGAGATACCTGTTTCGCTTCCGACAGGCCAAGTGAGAAGAACTTATCCATAAGTGCTTCCCAGATGAGCTGGCCCCTAAAGAAAAGGCGTGCTCCATTCTATGCCATTGAAGAACACACAATGTTAATCACTCGAAAAACAAAAACAAAAACAAAAACTTCCATTATTAAAATTACAACTGGTTAAAATATCCAAATAAAAACTTACCCTCAACTCATTATCCGGGTGGCCGGCTAGAGATGCACCATCACAATACTGCACTTTGACTCTGTTCCAGTTAAAGAATTCTAGAGCATGCTCCAAAAATGGAATTGAATCACATCAATTAGCTGGTTAAAAGCTACAAACTTATGCGTTATGGTGATGGTACAACAACAAAGCAGGTGAGTCAAATTGGAGTACCAGGATTTTGTGTTTGGTGAGGGCTTAAAATCCCAGTAAAGTGAACTCGATGTCCCATATGTTTGGAAGACCCTAAATGGATCTCTTTACGCCAAAAACACGATTCTATTGTATTGCACCAACCTCCACCCTGCATTTCAATTTTCAACCCAAACCCATTACCCATTTTTGCTTTCTTAATCAACATCTCTAATAGAAAAAGTAAATGGAATGAAAGAAAAAGAAAAACATAAGATTTGAGTTATTAGGACCTCAATGTAAAGCACCCAACTATTGGCGCCAGAACCAAAGCCCCTTTGAAAATGGTAGCCAGGCAAACTCCCATCTAAGCAAACTGCAAAACCATAAATTTAAATGTAAACAAGAAGAGAATTGAATTAGGAAATGAAGACACAAGAAATTTTGAAATTTGGCTAGCAGGGTTAAGATTGAGTACCTGCGCCTCTACGTGTGGCGTTGTGCAACAAGGTCAAGTCGACCAAATCGGTGGCGGTGATTCGATGGAATGTGGAGCTGAGGTTGGAGTCTGGATCAGAGTTCCAAGAGTAGGAGACGAAAGCGAGAGCGAAGACAAAGACGGCAAATCCGATGGCTGATATTGCCCAGTCTCTTTTGCCCCAGTTTCTCCACCATAGCAGGCCGTGAAGCCAAGAAATATTCGCCATTGAATTTGAAGCCAAATTCTCCACCGCCATGGCTCATGAGTGTTTGAGGTTCGAGGTGCGAGACAGAGCCGAGTTCCATGGCTTGTAATTCAAGCAACCTCCGACTTCTATGGCTTATAACTTGTGACCATGCAACTCATGTGCCTCGTAAACTACGGAGGATCACTGTTGACCACTGTCAACCAAACACATAACACCCTCATTTTCAATCGAATTTCATACAAGGACCAAAGCCCCTTGAATCGAACCTAACACCTCGATTGCACGTACAAGCCCCTTGAATCGAAAATCAATATCAAATTTACTATCAAATTGGGTTTCGGAATATTTAAAACCATTGAGCATAAAACCCAGATTTTTCGGATTATTTAGAGATGGCACAATGATAAAATAAAATTCAGAAATTCATGCAGGTAAAGAAAACCAAAACTTTATCATTCTTTTCTTTATAAATGAATTCAACTTGTACAAAGCTACAACAAATATTCATTACAATGAACACCAAGAAAACAAAAATTCATACGGCTAATTGTTGGAGAAGCTTTTAGCATCTCTTGTGAATCAAGCTACCATATAAACCTCTGGGTCCCTGGCTCATGGGACCAATGGAATGGTCGATACAAGAACATCATCATGGTGAGTACGTTGATGGTTATATATAGAAATCCTGTGAAGAGCAAACTTCGATAATCGTCGGTATGCGAATGTAGCATCAAGAAAAAGAAGGGAATGGTATAATATCTGAACTCGATTAGTGGCGCTGGAACCAAAACTGCAGCAGTTGCCAAGAAGAATGCCAGCACCCAGATCTTCCTCTGAAACTTCCCTGCCATGTGAAATAAAAACAAGTATTTAGTGAAGAGAGATAAGGAAGCCTGATCAGATAGAATGGCTAAGAGATCTGATTACCAACCCAATCTAGTGATGATGGAAAGCCATGAATAAACATATAGTGGGATTAGTAGGTACTTCATTGACCAGTGAGCTTTGATGACCTTCCGCCAAAGATAAAAGGGATAATGCCGATTATCAGCAAGAAGATAGGGATGCGCTAAGCTGCAAGAGTCAACGAACTACGTTATAAAATTGTGACATAAAACTTTTAAATGAGTATTCATAATGCATTGGATGTGAAAACAGCAAAGGAAACCTTCATCATTCTTGAAATTGGAGAAAATGTACAATTTCATAGCCGAAAAAAGCCAGAAAAGAAACAGACGAAAATTGCTTTCTCAAACATTATTTAAGAAGTAGAGCTTCATACAAGGGCATGCCAGCAGGCCAAATGAATGGCTAGTAGTAACAAAATCTGTGAAAAAAATTTCCTCTTCAACAAATTCAGTGCAACTATTCTTCTAAAAACATTAAGCTAAAAAAGTTAAATAGGCCTAACCTGAAAAAATGAATAGAGATGAACCCAGCACCCAGTGCTACAGACAGTTGAAACAAAGTAAGAAACTTATTCCTCCACACTGACCGGAATAAATCTACAGCTGGACTCAAACTACAATGCATAGGAGCCATAAGAGCAGAAAACAGACCAAAATACATGATCTGTGCAAAATGTGGAGAAACTGCATGAGCTTCTTTCGCACCTACAACATTTGGACATAGTAAGAGATAACAGTAATAAAGGCCGCTTTTTATATGCCGCAACATGTAAAAGCAAAAAGAAAAACGAGAAAAGAAAACGATGAGTCATACCTAGAACTACACTCCCATTCCAACAAACAAAAGCAATAAAGGCTACTAATACTAGAATAAAAGGGCTAAAAGAAACCAAAGCTTCCAACTTCATTTGCCATAATCTTAAATAGATGGCCTTAATTTCATCAAGAAAACCTGCAAAACAATGCCACCAAGATGTGTTTATATGCCTTGAGAACAATAAATATCCCCCGCAGGACATGACCAATCAACTTGGAAAGCTACATGAAGACAAACCTGGCGTTAACTTTTGCGAAGAAACACTTCTAGTTGACATTAAATGTATTCTGTTATCCACTGAACTTCTAAGCTTCCGCTTTCTCAGGTTTGAGCCTAATGTAATACTGTTTGCAGGAGTTAGTTCAACATTTTTCCTAATTGAGAAATCAGTGTCGTCTACATCCATTTTATCTCTTTGACCACCCAAAGTAATATTTATAACCTCGCAGCAGCAAACAGAAAGCATCCATACAATATTTGTTTGCCGAATAACAACTGCCAAGACGCCAAGCTGCATTAACAAGATCAAACTAAGTTACCACTTGAATGGACAAACATATAGGTACAACATGTCTGTACAAGTGTGTATTTGCATCAGAATCACATCCTTATGTTCAAAACTTATAAAATGACTTATGGAAGAGACTTGAGCCTTTACCAATGCACTAAACCAGTACTTCTTCTTCAAACACGCAAGATACATAGCAAGCACCGCACCAAGTGATGCAACATCCGTATAATAGAGAAAAGTGAAGAACCAATGGAGAGGGTACAGGGCCAGGACCACTGCATAAAGTGTTGCTTTTCTTTCATCAAGAGCTGGTCTCAAGTGGGTGATTATCTCATATACTAGAACACTGCAAAGTACGGCCAAAACACCATTGAAGGAGCGAAGAATCGATGTGGAGCAGACTTCAGAAAATGATGTGGCTGCTTTTATGAAGGACATGCCTGGAAACAAATAAGCAACATGGGCTAGTGAAAGATAGTACCTGCAAAAGTTTTAAATAGCATATACTAAGTTCTTTGCTAATACAACATGATCCTTAAGTTTCTCCATCAAAACATAGCAAAGCCAACAAATTTGCTAAAAGTTAGTAAGACCCTTTACTTCCCAAACAGAAATCAGCTGGCTGCATACAAAATTCAATACAAAGTAACAACAAAAGTAGAATTAAGAACTCGTAGAGAACATACAGGCCAGGAGGAGTGGTGATCATGGGATCCCAGCTCCTGAAATTGCCTTTGCAGTACTGTTGAGCCTGAGGCACATGGAAAATCTCATCCTACAGATCATAAGTGCATGAACTTGTCAAAAACAAAAATTTACACAAACCCAAGAATCTAAAATAGATAGCACTCACATCGAACCAATGAAAGTTGCGATCTTTGGTGGGTTGGGCTTACCATGTAAGGCTCAGGAACAATGTGATTCACAAGGATGGAAACGGGAACTACCCACAAGCTCACAATCGCTGCCACAGCTATCCTACCCATTTTTCTCTGTAATTGCAGAGTCAAATCCCAAGGCTCTGTTTGCTTCTACGGATTCGGCAATGGAAAATGCGCGCCAACATCACGAGCTGAGGTTTCAGCTGAGACTAGGGATTTTGAACTCCGAATTTCTTTTAGCTGATTGTCTGAACCAAATCTTGTTGGGCGAGAGTCGTCCCTCCAAATCCGGTTATGACTCCTGATAGTCCAATTTCCCCCCTGCAAAATCCCTAAATTTAATTTTTTTTTTTTTTTTTTTTTTGTTGGTTGTCATGAAAATTTTTAGATATCCCATTTTGGTTGTTTTGCTTTTCTTATTAGAAATAAGTGAATAAATCACATACTGTTACATTATTTGATATATTTTTAGATATCCCATTTTGTGTAGCAAACGCTTGTAACAAAAACTAAAATGCAATTGGGAAATGAATATTGTATTTTCAGTATATTATTAGAGTGCTGCTAAATGAACCCTAAAATTAACTGAGTACACCCTACTATCAAACTATTTATTGAATTACTAATGTACCCTAATATAAAATGACCAAAAAGGATATATTGAATTGTGTACCCCAATATGTACATCATCCTTAAGACTTGACGCATGTCCATTCTTATAACTATGGTAAACTCTTTAATTTTAATCTTTTAAAGTATTTAAAACCATAAAATAAAATAAAATTTTAAAAAGAGAAAAAAAGCTCTCTCTCCTTCCCGACCCACCCCACTCTGAGACGAGTTGAGATATGCTGTACTCAAATTCCCAAACTACCAAATCTCCCTAAATTAGATTGAAAACCCACACCTCTCTCGAAAGATTGAAGACAATATATTTAATTAAAAATTAAAATCTTTATTTTACTACTTGAGCTTTTGAACCCATGCCTTCAAACAAATTGACTTAAGTTTTAACATACAACTCGGAATCCAGGAGAAGTGGTCCGATGGCAACTCATTAAAACCCAATTCTCAAATGCAACAATCTAATCCCAATCCCAATTCAGATGTTTCCAAAAAACACATGGTGGTCGTGGTGGAGAACTGCAATTCCAGGTGGTGGTGGTCTCACATGAGAGAGAGAAAAGAAGAAGAAGAAGCAAGAGAGAGAGAGAGAGAGAGAGAGAGAGAGAGAGAGAGAGTGTTGTTAAAATATTATTTTATTATTATTTTACTTTATTTATTTATTTTAAATACTTTAAAATATTAAAAATTAAAGAGGGTGTACCATGGGTATTTTTGGTAGTTAAATAGGGTGTACTTAGTTAATTTTACATTTTAATTTAAATATTATGGTATACTTAGATCATAAAGTGTACTCAATTAATTTTAGGATTCATTTAGCAGCACTATTATTATTGGATTGCATTTTAGTTTTTAGAAACAAGGTGGTATATTTAAAAAAATCTACGAAAATATTGTTGATATCAATATACAAAAACGATGAAAATCAAAGTACACGTTTAGGGTTGAGACTTGATAGTCCAAATTTGGCATAATTATCATTTTTGACTATTTTTTAGATATTAAACTGCACAATTTCATGTCAAAGAAACCACCAATTGATTCAAATGCCAAAGCATATAAGTAACCCAAAAAAAAAATTACAGAACAAAAAGTTACACGAAACAGATTAAACATGCTACCACGAGGCTTGCAGAGGGATTAGTCAATGACCACTGAGAACATAAAAAACATCTTAGGAAAAATTACAAATTATCCAGCGAAAAACCTACAACGTTATAGTTCAGGCCAGTAAAATAATAGAAAGCAAATAAAAATAGGACAACAAAACCAGATAACAAGAATGCAAGTAGCATTTTCTTTCCAAGTAGTGATACTTGAGTCTCCCTATCCTTGATTGTAATCAGAAGCATTTCCTGTGCACAATTGACGGGCCAGATTCATCATACTCGGCTTTGGCAATCCACATCTGCACTCAAATGAAATCGGATTATTAACAACAATCTCTTTAGGGGCAATTTGTTGAAGGAAACTAAGTATTTATATTACGAAACCAACCTGCTGGAAGGTACTGAGGGAAGCTAGGATGGAGCCTCCGATCCAGACACTGTACTTTCTTTCTGGTGGGGCAACAACCTTGATCTTCATGCTGCTGGGTGCTAATGCAGTAATTTCCTTGCTCATTCTATCAGCAATTCCAGGGAACATGGTGGAACCACCACTAAGAACGATGTTCCCGTACAAATCCTTCCTAATATCAACATCGCATTTCATTATGGAATTGTATGTGGTCTCGTGAATACCAGCAGCCTCCATTCCAATCATGGATGGTTGGAAGAGGACCTCTGGGCATCGGAAACGCTCAGCCCCAATGGTGATCACCTGACCATCAGGTAGCTCATAGCTCTTCTCAACAGAAGAGCTGGTTTTAGCAGTTTCCAATTCTTGTTCATAGTCAAGAGCAATGTAAGACAACTTTTCCTTCATGTCCCTCACAATTTCCCGTTCGGCTGTGGTGGTGAATGAATAGCCACGCTCAGTCAAGATTTTCATCAGGGCATCAGTCAGGTCACGACCTGCAAGGTCAAGCCGCAAGATGGCGTGTGGAAGAGCATAACCCTCATAAATGGGGACTGTGTGGCTGACACCATCTCCAGAGTCGAGAACAATACCTGCACACAAGCACATAGAAAAACATGAATCCTTGTTTAAAAATCATCATAGATATAGCTTCAGCATTAGCAAGTTTGAATTTTATTCAAAATGTCAAACCTACATCATTCATAATTTTACCTGTGGAAATTTACTTGCTGATCTAAGCAAATCCAAAGTGACTTTTTACCCAATAACATTCTCATAGATAATTTTATCCTGAGTTTCCAAATTCATTTATAATATCTTCCAAATAAACTGCATATGCCCATCTTATCTACTGGTGACCCCATTCAGAGGGATGTTTTACCTACCACCAAACCTTTTTGAGAATTTTAGGCTGAACCTTCACAATGCTTGTTTGTCAACCCAATTTATGCCAAGTAAAACAATTTCAATAACCATCTCAACCAGAAACGGTGCCTGTGATAGTTGGTGGCTATTACAAGTATACCAGTAGTTCTAGTCTTAATTTAGTTACCAAATTTCTTTTAATGGAAAGGAAAAGTGGTCACTATATAAGCTAATTGAATAGCTTACCCGTAGTACGACCGCTGGCATAGAGAGAAAGAACAGCCTGGATGGCTACATACATAGCTGGAGCATTGAAGGTCTCAAACATGATCTGGGTCATTTTCTCACGGTTTGCCTTAGGGTTGAGAGGTGCTTCAGTGAGAAGAATTGGGTGCTCTTCAGGAGCAACACGAAGTTCATTGTAGAAGGTATGATGCCAAATCTTCTCCATGTCGTCCCAGTTGCTCACAATTCCATGCTCAATGGGGTATTTCAGAGTTAAGATACCACGCTTGGACTGAGCCTCATCCCCAACGTACGCATCTTTCTGGCCCATGCCAACCATAACGCCAGTGTGACGTGGGCGGCCAACAATGCTAGGAAAAACAGCTCTTGGAGCATCATCTCCAGCAAATCCAGCCTACACAACATTTTTTATCAGACTATGTCCACTTTTTAGCATCTAAGAGCTATACCAGCTAAAACATTCAGAAAGATAGATTAATAATCTATCACACATCGTCACAGACAGTGACTGAATTCTGTTTTGCATACCTTCACCATTCCTGTCCCATTATCACAGACAAGAGGCTGAATGTCCTCGGCGTCCGCCATCTTCTATTTCCTGCAAGCAAATAACCAGCATTGTATGAAACAACCCAAAAATTAAAAATTAGCCAAGTTACACAGGTTTAAACAATCATGCATCACATATCAATGGAATGAATGGAATGATCACTTGTCTCATGCACATTAATCAACATCGATCAGCATTGGTGCCCATACAAGAAAATTGAATTCCCAAAGAGAAATCAAAAAGAAAAAGGACATAAACAAGAAAATGGATTTTTTTTTTCTGTAAAAGAAAAAAAATTAATCAGCAATGCAAATCCATCATCGCCTACAAACAAACAGATCAAGGGACAAATCTACCATAAATAAAACGAAAAAAATTACACTGAATTTTGTAACAACGAACAACAGTCTCACAGTCCGATCAAATATTACAATGCAAACCAAATGTAGCAAAAATCATCCACCACACAACAAAATCCGAACAGAGAAAACCCAAAATCTAACAAAACCATGGAAATTCTGAGCACATTATGCGATTATAATCGGATCGAAACGGAGAGAGATTCACCTTTGTGAAACCCTAGAATATTCGTTTTCCTTTGAGGTTCGGATGAGCTGCCCGCCTTGAGGACCTTGGTGTTGGTTCAAAATGGAAACAAAAACAAAAACGGACACGAAAAACCAAGCGAGCCAAAAAAATGGGATGCCAAATTGCGGATGAAATGAAAATGGAACTCGGCCCGAAATGAAATGCGCCTTAAATGCAGTGCAATTCGGTCTCGCTCTAATCCCCACCATTCGTCCTTTGCATGAGTACTGGATCTACGGTCTACGCGACGCGTCACTTTTATCTGGGCCTCTACTCTCTAGTGGATCCAGTTGTCCTTTAGCAAATCCGTTGGTGTCCTTCGGCCTCTATTCTTCCCGCCTAAAGTGACTATTTTACCCCTAATCTTTATGCAGAAGTACCCTTTCTTTATATATAGCAAAATACAGAGAATGGTAACACATTCAAAATACCAGAAAATGTTATTGGTTAATGCAAACATTAAAAATTAAAATTATTAATTAAATGAGGATAATATGGTGAATTCATACTTTTTCATATTAAAAACAAAATCAAATAATAGGTCATTTTTTTATGGTACACAACTACCCATTAGTTTTTTTAATTCTAAAATAAAATAAAAAAAATTTTAAAAACTAATTGGTGCACACATGAGCATGTGCCAAGGGACTAGTATATAATTAAAGGAGTAATTTATCAATGTCTAGCGAAGTTATATTAACAATTCAATGTGTCACATGATGTTACAATCACATACAATAACATTGTATCAAAGCTAAAATGGCAAAATAGACAATTTGGGGAGGAGATTTGGGCCAGAGACTTTAGCTGAGTTGTTGGATTCGAGGTTTGGGCGAAGTTATAAATCAAATTCAACGCGATGTTCTTCATTCTTCAACACAGTACATAAATCAAATTCAATAATTTGTAGAATAGT